AAGTGAATGAGATTGGGTAGGTAAATTTAGGGCTAATGAATATTATTGTGCCAGCTTTTATCTGGACACCTCCTAACATGTCTATATGCAGAGCTGAGGAAGGAATTTGACCCAGTTTTACAAAATGAAGGTAAAGCTTGTACTGCTTTAGTTACCTATTGGGCACCTGGAGGTCCAAGTGAAGAATCACTTTTTTGTGTGTGTGATAAATTCATGCTTTGGTATTTGATAGCATTGACATTTTTTAAAAATTTAATTTATTTTGGTACTGGAAATTAAACTCAGCACCTTGCACTTTGCCAGGAACTTGTGCCACTGAACTCCATCCTCAGCTGTCCCCCGCTCCCCCGTTTTTTTTTGTTTTTGAGATAGGTTCTCCTTTTGTATTTCACACTGGCTTTGAACTCATAGGGCAGCCCAGGCTGGCCTCTTAACTCAGCAATCTTCCAGCCTCAGCCTCCTGAGTGCTGAGATTATAGGTGTAAGCCATGACACCTGATTTAATTTCTTTTTAAAAAATGTTTGAACATATAGAATAAAGATGAGTGGGTTTTTTTTTTTTTTTTTTTAAATCACAGTGTCTTGATATTGTGGTCCAGTTGAGTAGCTGGGACTACAGTTAGGTACCACTGTATCTGACTGGAAGCTACATTGAAGTACGTTTGTATTGCTGTAGAAATTAGTGAGAGTATGCCTTTCCTCAGTACTTTGGAGGTTGAGGAAGGATCACTGCAAATTTGTGGCCAGCCTAAACTGCACAGTAAGATCCTGTCTCAAAAAAATAATACATGTGTATGCATATCTATCTATCTATCTATATATATATATGTAGAGAGAGAGAGAGACAGACAGACAGACAGATTTGCCATCTAGACTGATGTTGAACTGCAATTTTGGAGAAGAGCTTCCCATTTTGGGACTTGTCTAGAGGGAAACTGCTATGATCTGAGGAGCTAAGCAAATAGGGTATCTTGTTTATTAGTTCTGTGTTAGTATGTGAATTTATTCTTTTTTACCTTTTTCTCAAAATAAGTTTTAAATACTGTCAGAAAACAAAATATTGTTACTTATAACTCTTACTGTAAAAACAAATAGTAGATCCATGTCCTGAAAGAGGTATTTATTTTACCTTAAGGAGAAGTTGTAGTTTGACAGCAAGACAATTCTTGAGAATCACAATTTTTGTATATTTGTTCTTCTGTTTTGCCCTTCACTGTAGCATTTAGAGAATTTCATTTGGGTTTCTACTTTTTCAGTGGAAATACAGATTGAAAGAATGAATTTGAGGAAAATTAATTTAGAATGTGTAAAGTTAGTTGGATATGAGCAGTAAAGGGGAAAGAAAGAAAAATATGAAATTGATTTGAGAGGATGGGGTACTATCAAGGAGATGAACATTATGATGAGATAAGAAATAGGATCAAAGTTGGAGAAAGTTGTTTGGGCTATGGTTTGTGTGTGTGTTGTAATGGGATATCTAAACATTAGGTATATTGGTGTTTGATATGTCTAGCTATTGTAATTGATAGGATTTTTAGGGCCAGCCAAATAAATAGTTCAGCAGATTAAAGCACCTGCTTAGGCAGACCTGTGGCCTGCTGTACTAGCCCTGCCCCTGGGAGTGATTGAGACTGGGCGTGGTGGTGCCTGCCTGTAATCTCAGCACTTGGAAGGCTGTAAACAGGAGAATCACTAGGAGTCTGATCTACGCAGTGAGACCCTGTACACGCTGTATATGCTGTCCTAAATAAAAAAAGAAAGGATTTTTATAATAGCTTATCATCTCAATGAGGCATTCAAAAAATTTTTTTTTTCTGTGTTTAGAACAGAGTCTGCAGGGTCTCATTACACAGATCGGACTGGAAGTGATTCTCCTGTTTACACCCTCCCAAATGCTTGGATTACAGGCATGTGCCTGCCACCATGCCCAGTCTCAATCGCCGGCTCAGCGTGTTGGCATGCTGGTATCGCCACTGTGTTCTGCCTAAGCAGGCACTTTAGTCCGCTGAGCTATCAGGCTAGCCCTAAAACTTCTTTTTTCATCAAAATGTATTCAGTGCAGTACTTTGTTTATAGGAATCTGCAATACAGTACTCAAAGGTGCTTCAGATAGAGGTGATAGCTGGGGTAGAATCATAAAGGTTATGAAACAGGGAAGGCATGCATTACAAAGGGCTGCCATGTGGGCAAACAAGGTGAGGCTTGATTAGAAGTGAAACTTGGTGAGTGACGTTAGGAGATTAGGCTGGATAGTGTGCCTAACAGCCCGGACTTTGTATCTTAAGTATGTGGCTTTAGCTTCCAGCTCTGCTGTTTACATGTCTGCATTATATTGGGTTAGATTGTTGTAAAGAGTAAAATGAATCTTTGAAACACTTAAAATAGTGCCCAATATATAGTAAGTGCTATATTTGTTTGTTAAAAAAAAAGCTAGTGAAGGTGGTCTCACTACTGCCAGTAAGACTAGGGCCTTCACACTGAGCTACATACCTGGCCCCTTTAGGTTTTTTTTTTTTTTTGGTGAGACAGGGTCTTGCCTTGTAGTACAGGCTGGAGTACTCCTGCCTCAGCCTCCTATGCTGGGCTTACAGGGATGTGCCATGTAATCCCAGCTTCTTTAATGAGCTTTGGATCTCATATGTAATCTATGCTAGTGATATGTTTGATGCCTTGGAGGTGTATTATATTTCCATAAAATGTGAACTAAGGTATGAGGTAATTTTAATCTGTATTTATAATTTTTTTGCAATTTTCTTGATGGTTGGAGATAATTTATGTTTAAGAATATACTATTTTATAGAAAACACAATTTAGTTCAAGTCCAAAGAGCCAGAAAACTTTAATAGTAGTTTATTGTGTGTTGTATCTTTATTTTGAGATGTCAGATTACAGTTGTTACATTGGTAATACTGAAAATTTTTGATGGGGTAAATCATTAAAGACAAAGTTTGTTACTATGTTATATCTTTTAAAAAATTATGTATTTATTTGGCACGTGATCTCACTGCACAGCTTAGACTTGAGTGATTGTCATGTCTCAGCCTCTTCAGCGCTGGGATTATAATCTTGGTTGCTGGCTGGGCGTGGGCTGGCATGGCATGTGGAACTGGGGATTGAATCCCAGGCAGGACCTTGCGCTTGCCAGGCAGGTGCTTAGACCACTAAGCTTTCTCCCTGGCCTGTAGCCAGTTTTTTTTTTTTTTTTTTTTTTTAATTTATTTGTTTTATTTATTTGTGTGTGTGTGTGGCCAGCTCAGCCCGCCTGGGGGCGGGGCTGGCTGGCATGTGGTGCTGGGGGATTGAACCTTGGTCCATGTGCTTTGCTAAGCTTGTTCTAAGTAGGTGCTTTAGACCACAGAGCCATCTCACCAGCCCCCTGTATCCAGTTTTTAAGTTAAATTTTGACATTTTCATCACTTAGTATACTCTTCAGATAAATCTTAGATCTCTATTTCTAGATTTGTCAGTTTTAAAATTTAAAAAATAATTTTTCTTGTTGCCTTGTTTTTAAGACAAGGTCTCACTGTGTGTGTAGTTTAGAAGGCCTTTAACTCACTAAGAAGCCCCTTGAATTCATAATGATTCTTTTGCCTCAGCTTTCTGAGTGCTGGGGTTATAGGGATGGCTTTTGTTTTATTTGTTTGTTTCTTTTCTTTTCTTTTTTTTTTGCGGAACCTGGGATTGAACTCAGGCCGTTGCGCTTGCCAGGGAATCGCTTATTCCACTGAGCCATCTCCCCGGCCCCCTGTTTCTATTTTTGAGAAATGGTTTTACTATAGCTCAGACTGAGCTTGAATTTCTTATGTAGTTCAGTCAGGCCTCGAACTCAGGGCAATTCCCCTGCCGCTGTCAGCCTCCTGAGTGCTAAGCTTACTGGTGTGTGTTACCATGCTCACCTTCAGCTTTTAAAATGTATTGCCATTCAGTTTTATAAAAGGGGGGAAAAACTTAATTGAAACTGGCAATATGAGTTTTTGTCAATTTTCTCTAGATTGTTAAAATGATGAAATTGATAGAAAATACAGTATATGTAAATAGTGTTTTAAGTCTGTGTTCTGAGTTGTGATATGTGTTGTATATGATACTTGTCACACAGGCTATTGCAGGGCTTATCAGATCTCCACATTAAAGACATTAGAGTGCAGATACTTAAACTGAATCTTGAAGAATGACTAATTTGAACTTGGTGCAGTGGCACTCATATGTAACCATAGCAGCTCGGAATACTGAGGCCGGAGGATTCAATCAAGTTTAGCGGGCAATTTAGACCCTATTTTAAAGTAAAAGAAAATGTAAAAAGGACTGAGAACATAGCTCAGTGCTTCCTAGGTTCAAGCCTTAATGCTGTATCCAACAACCTCAATGCTGTATCCCCCCAAAAAAGGAAAGAAATAAAAAAGATCATATAATTGGAGCAGACATAGGAAATGGTCATCTGTAGTAATAATATCAATGTACTCATGACTCAAAAGCATGAGAGACTCACATATATGCTGATAAGTATGTAGTTTGGCAGAGAGGATTTTAACATATGAGGAAAGGCATGTTGGTAAAATTTGTACATTATATTTTATGTAAGTTGCAGTAGCCAATTTGGAAGTCATTGAACAAGTTCAAGCAAAAGCAGGCATTATGACCAGTTTTGTATTTTAGATTATGTGGGTAGCAGTGAGAAATACAGATTTGGGGGTTTGGAGGTCACTTAGACTTTCTCAGGAAAGAATGATTAATGCTTAAATAAGACAGTGGCAGTGTAGATTGTTGGCTGGAGAAAAGTTTAGGAAGTAAAATTGTGAACGAGTACTATGAAGGTGAGAGGGAAATTTAGACAATTCAGATTTATAGCTCAAATAAATGAAATTGAGAAACTGGCTGCCATTATTTGTAGTAGAGAATAAGAGGAAGAGCTGCACAAGATATTACATAAAGCAGCCAGGTGAAATTTTCTGAACCATTTTCAAGTCACTTTCTTGCCAAAAATTAGTCACAAGCTTTTTGTTATTATCTTTTTAAGCTTCACAAGTTTATGTCATCCTTGCTCAGGGCACATGCTAATCTTCTCTGTATCATTCCAGTTTTAGTATATGTGCTGTCAAAGTGAGCATGGTTTTTATTATCTTTAATGAGCTCTGTAAATGAAAATGCAAAAGGCACAATAGCAAAATGTGGTAGTTAAGAGATGCTAGTTTAATCCTTTTAAAGGGGCACTCAAAGGACATCTTTTTCAGTTTTTTCCTGCCTATCATGTCTCCTTTAATTCATTCTTAGGAAGGTACTGTACTTTCTGTTTATATGCTGCTTTTACTCTGTATCTCTTCCTTGTCTATCTTTAAAATCTATACACTAGATTCTCTTCCAGATAGCATTTGTAGTTTTTTTGTCTAGAAGAAATTTTCCTCTGAATTCATGTTATAGTAACTACTTTTTCTCTTGTTACATAACTCATATAAAATCTGATGTAGCAAATGGGTTAATGCATTTTAAAAGCCTAGTACTACAGCACCTAGTGTGGAGTACTTAGTAATTGTGGCTCTGATTATGTTGATAATAAATAATAGCAAGTTTACTTTTTACTTTTTTTGTGATGGCAAAACTGATTTGTGTTCTATGTGTGGATGCTAGGAAAACAATATCTTATTTTGGTTATGTTTGTAAAAGTAGAATTAATTGTTTTTGTGCTACTTGACTATTCCTGAGGGCAGGAAACCTGTAGGTTTATTTCTCAGTCTTAGGAATCCAACTCAGAGCCTCACAAAGTAAGGCAAGTACAGTACCACCAACCTGCATCTCCAGACAACCCCTTGACATTATTTCATTAAGGACTGGCAGATATAGCTCAGTGGCACAGTGCCTGCCTTGTAAGCACAAGGTCCTGAGTTCAATTCCTAGTACACCCCCCAAAAAAAACCCCACCCCATTATTTTATTAGGTCTCACTACAATTAGTTGAGGCAGCTGCTGCTGCTGCTGCCTTTTGTGTGTGTGTGTGTGTGTGTGTGTGTGTGTGTGGTACCAGGGATTGAACTCAGGATCTTGCGCTTGCCAGTCAAGCACTTATTCTACTGAGCCATCGCACACCCAGAGGTGGGGCGGGTGCAGCATGTGGTGCCAGGGATTGAACCCCATCCCTGTGCTTGCCTAAGCAGGTACTTAGTCCAAGCTGAGACAAGAAGATCACAAGTTTCAGCCCTTGTCACTAGCCCTAGTTTTTTTTTTTTTTTTTTGGCAGAACCAGGGATCGAACTCAGGCCCTTGTGCTTGCCAGGGAAGTGCTTATTCCACTGAGCCATCTCCCTGACCCCCACTAGCCCTAGTTGAGGCAGCTTTTATCCCATTTTATAAATGGGTAAATGGGCTTTAAGTTTGAAATTTTGCCCAAAGCCACACAGTTGGTACATGGCCATGTTTTTGTTTTTGTGGTACTGCGATCAAACCTTACATGTAAAGCAAGTGCTCTGCCACTGGGCTATATCCCCAGTCCGCACTATGGTATTTGATCCTTGGCTGTACAGCTCCAAAATTCTACATAACAGGCCTTCAAAAAAGACTTAATTTGTGCAGTGTTTTCACATCATTTTCATAACTTGTTACCTGTTAGAGGATCTATCATGGGGCCCTCAGTAAGAAAGATGCTTTGCTTACCTGCCTACCTGCCCTCCTTCCCTCCCTCTCTACCATCCCCCATTGAACCTAGGGAATGCTGAGCTACATCACAGCTTCTTCCTCTTCACTTCCTCCTTAACAATATTGAGGATTGAACCTAGGGCCTTTGCACCGAGCTACATCTCCAACCCTTTTTTCATTTCATTTCATTTTTTTGAGACAGGGTCTTGCTAAGTTGGCCAAGTTACTCAGGTGGGGCTGAAACTTGTGATCTTTTTGTCTCGGCTTCCCAGAGTCCTGAGATTACCACAACCATGCCAAGCAATTTTTTTCTTTTAAATTTTATTTTACCTATTGGTATATATGTTATATGGATATGACAAAATAATCCATTTAACAACTACTGAAATTTAGAGATGTTAACATTTTGTCACAGTTGGTTCAGAGTTTTCTTTTTTAAATATGGCATTATTACAGTTATAATTGAATATTTTGTTATTCTTTTCAAGCCCATTCTCTTCCTTTTTTCCAGTATCAAATTTCCTCTTGGGGCTGGTGAGATAGCTCAGTGGTCTAAAGCACCTACTTAGAACAAGCTTAGCAAAGCACAGGGACCGTGGTTCAATCCCCCAGCACCACATGCCAGCTAGCCCTGCCCCCTGGTGGGCTGAGCTGGCCACACACACACACACACACACACACACACACACAGAAAGAAATTTTTAAAAAAAATTTCCTCTTAAAGTTTATGTCCCTTTGTTCCATGTTTTTACACTTAAACTGAACATGCATGTATCCATGAACAATGTATGATGTTTATAGATTGTTAGAATTTTGTGAATGTTACCATACTTGTATTATGCTGCTTTTCTTTGGCCTAACAAGATGTTTTTTAGTTATTTCATTATGTATGTATAGTTTTTTTTTTGTCCTCAGATATCATTTATTATCCGTTGCGTTATCCTCACTTATGTACGTATAGTTTATTGTGATCTGTTAATTCATTAAATGATTATACCATAGTTTTTATATCTAGACTGCAGAAATAGAATTTAGGTTGTTCATAACTTTTAAGTGTTACAGGGGGTAATTGCCCTGAACATGGGAACTTATTTGAGATGATTTGTTTTTGCAGTGCAGAATTTATCTTCATGTTAATGAAATAAAATAGTTGTAATTGTTAGGATTTGCTTTAAGTGAACAGCATGGATAATGTTTGCATCAGTGTTATACTATAACTTCTTCCCCTCCCAATTTTTTTATTTTTTTATTTTTTTTTATTTTTTTAGTATCTTTTTGAGACAAGGTCTCACTATGCAGTTCAGTCAGGCCTTGAGCTCACTTTGTAGCCCAGGCTGGTCTTACACTCACAAGGATCCTCCTGCCTCAGTCTCCTGAATGCTGGGATTACAGGCATGCACCACAATGCCTGGCCATAAATTCTTTTATTCAGGGTGATTCTCCTGCCTCAGCTTCTTGCGTGTTCAAGTATACAACACCATGCTCATCTTTTTTTGTTTTCTTAAAGTTTTTTAACCATTCTAACCTGTACTTATTTTTCATTATATAGTTAAGGATTATATTTTGGCAGCCTGTAGGCCAGATTCAGTTTGTAAATGTATGTCTCTTGGCTTTGTCAAATAACAGAAAAGCGAATTTTTTAGAAATTATTTTGCGTAGTCTCTATTATCATATTTTAGTGTAGTTGGTTGTTACAGGGTCTCCCTACGCATTGTGGACTCAGAGTGATCCTCCTGTTTTCAGCCTCGCCAGTGCTGGGATTACAGGTGTGTCCCACTATGCCCAGACTTTGTCGCCTCAACCCACCCTAGGGTTGGGGCTGGTGCAGCATGTGATGTCTGGGATTGAACCAAGGACCTTGAGCTTGCCTAAGCAGTCGCCTTTGTCCTCTGAGCTATCTCACTGGCTCCCCCCCCATGCTTTTTAATGTTGCTTTTTTTTTGAAATTGAGCTACTTTGTAGTCCAGGCTTGGCCTTGAATTTATAATCTTCTTGCCTCAGCTTCCAAGTGCTGGGATTATCAGTGTGTGTTACCATTCCTGGTTTATATTACTAGTTTTTTTTTTTCTTTTTTTTTAGTATCAACAATTCTCTATGAATGCGTCTATCAAAAATGGGAAAAGTATAGACTGCTGTGATAGTGAAGAAAAGTAGAAAAGAATCTCTTTCTTTGTGAGTGAAGAATATTTTAACTACTATATAAACAAAATTAGTCCAAGGGCCAGAGAGATAACTCAGAGGCATAAACACTTACCTGGTAAGTGCAAGGTCCCGAGTTCAATCCCCAGCCTCACATGCTGTGCAGGCCCTGAATGGCCTGGAACCAGGTGAGGTGGCTTACACTTGTAATGCCAACCAGCACTCAGGAGGTTGAGATAGGATTGCTGCTAGTTCAAGACCAACCTGGGGGCTTTAACAGTGAGCACAAGGCCAAGCTGAACTGCATAGCGAGATACTATCTCAAAAAAAAAAAAAAAAGTCTGATGGGAAAAAAAAATCGGTCTTGCCTCTTTTACTTGTTTATATCACTTGCATTGTTCTCTATAGACTTTAGTGATTACTACATTTTTATGTAGGAAACTATAAGGACTGGCTGTCCAGTTGCACAATTGAAGGTTTAAAAAATGTGAAAACAGCTTATAACTCATTAAATTCTGTGCGAAAGCAAGACATTTGCATATTTTATGTTACATACACCCTTGTTCCAGAAATATTTTAAGCAGAGGAATTGAAAATTTAAAATCTGAACCACCCAGTTTATCAAAACTATATTCATCAAGTAGCTTTTTCAGAGGTTGCAAATAAATGGTTTAAGATTTAGATAAAAAATGTTTTTGTCTAACTGCTTAGTAAAGGGGAATTGGTTGATTTGAGTACTAGATATCAAACCCAATGATAAGCATAGGCTGTACTGCTGAAGTATATCCCTAACTCCAGTGATTTTAAAAAATGAAATATTAGAGAACTAGAATTCTACCACTTTTTTTTTTCTTAACCTGATTCACATTTTTACGCAGCTTGTTAGACCTTGTATTTCATTTGTAACCCCTCACTTAAGGAATCTTACAAGAATATGTAGAACTACAAAATATTACAGATTAAAAGGGGGGGGGAAGGGCAGGTTTAGTGGTACAAGCCTGAAATCCCAGCACTTGGGAAGTTGAGACAGGAAGATAGCTGTGAGTTTAAGGCCAGCCTGTACTACATAGATAGGCCCTGGCTATGAAAATTTAAATCCTACACATGAATGGTCTGTGAAAGATGTGTCGCACATCCATATGTTAGGTACTTGCTAAGAAGCTTAATCTCAGTACATATCAAAAAGTGAATAAGAAAAAAATGAAAAAAGTGAGTACAGTCCCTGTTTATCTTAGAATTAAACAAGGAATAATATACAATGTAATCCTCCAAAAAGGAAAAAAAGGGGGGGATACAGCAATAAAGGGGAGAATAAGTGGAGTCAGGATCTAGACTCCAGAGGT